TAATAGTTTAATATATCAAGGGGTAGTCCAATATTATTTTCAAGATAAAATACTTAAAGGAGAGTGAGAAGCACAAGAAGATTTATTTCATTGTACTGAATATAATTGTAATCGGGCCATTAGCTGGCAGAATTCTGTGCTGGCTAGGAGGAGATAAAGATATGACATATGTGCACAAAAATGAAGGGTAGAAGATGAATAGGCCTTCTGGGGAGTTGATCTTTACAGATCAGATAAAGATTCTTCAGGTCTCTTGCAGTCTGTGCTACATCAAAGGCTGTCTCTCAGAGATAGTAACATGCACTTGGAACCTGGGGACACCTTCAGAAATGGACAGTTTTGAGATTGACAGGCAGCTAGGCTTTGGGTTTTTTGGTTGCTGGTTTGCTTTTTGTGTGTGTATGTGTGTGTGTGTGTATGTGTGTGTAATTTTTTGTAATCCATTTAAAAGTTAAAGAAAAGTTCATAGGCTGGTGGAGTAAATAATATTTGCATCTTATCTATCATTCCCACTAGCTGTTTTGCTTTAAAGGGAACCATTCTCTTCGAAAGATTTAAGGAAATCTAGTGGAAGGTGACTTGACTTCTTCCAAAGTTTGATTAAAATACTTATTTGTGGGCAGTGACTGTCTTTCAAGGGATAATTATACTTTTATTGATGAGTTAAGTATTCTGAAAATTCCTAAAAATAATGCAACATGCAACATATTTAGAAGATAGCAAGGGAGAGAGTAGTTCTCATTCATTATATAAAAAAAGCTAAAATAGTAAAAAAAAAAAAAAGAGGTAGAAAATGATTGTTTCATCCAGGAATATTTATTTAACAAATGCTTGTTTAATAACGGTGTTTTCAAGCACCTTAAATTGACATCAGCTGCTGTGTCAATCTCATTGGTTAAATCTGACATCAGCCCTTTTGATCTCTGAGAAACGCTGTCTCACAGCCAGTGAACATCCTCCAAAAGCACAGGAATAGATGCTACAGCATTTGTTAGCTTTCGCAGCCCTCTCTTCCTGTTCATGGTTTCTCAATTTATGTACAACTTCAGAGTAATTTGAGTTTCATTGTCATAATCTGAGAATACTTGTTCTCCAGCAGACTGTAGAAAGTAGTGGTTTTTTAAATATGTTGAAGTAAGCCAGAATGTTTCTGTTACGTTAGGTTTGTTCTTTTTTCCTCTTTTTAGTGGTGTTTGGCTTTTCATCCTCTCTAAAAATATGATTTTAGGTAGAGCTTCATTCAAGGCCTGAAAACATCTCACAGCTTTTGTTTTCACAGCACACATACAGAGGCATGGAGTAACAAGTGATTAAAGCCTAATATGTAGAAATATTGCTTTGCTTATTTGTTTTGGAATAATTTCTGCTTATTTTCTCACATATAAAAATACAAATCTCAACATTTTAGTATTTGCTAGAGAAACCTTTAGGGAACTGCAGCGGGTCATGGTTTTAAAGAAGGTGTAGCCTTATTAAACCCTCATTGTAATGAGAGGGACATGGGGAGTGTCAGGTGTCAGCCTGCTGTTGTGTCACTCCTCTGTTGGCATTCTCCAGAGACGTTTCCATCAAAACAGGGACAGCAAGACCTGATATTTGCATACCTCAAAAGGAAGCAGGCATGATTTCTTTGAGAGAGATGAAAAATTAGTCTCTCCTTGTGTCACAATAAAGGGCATAGGGAACTTGCGTTTGCTTCACAGTCTAGCTGGTTTTGACCCAGGAGTCTTGACTTCTTAATCTGGCTCTTAACAGAGCTCTCTCTGTGGACGGAAGGGTGAATGTCTCAGTTATTAAAATCCATGTTGCTGAGGCAGCAAGGTTCCTCTTGCACAGAAATGAAAAATTTCTTAGAACACCTTAGCCTCATTATATATATATATATATATATATATATATATATATAAAATGTAATACTCTTCCCTTATCTTTCCTAAAAATCTAAGATATTACACAGGAGAGAATGATACTGGTCTTTGCATGCAGTGACTTCCTATCAGTCAAACCATATATTTTAAAACACTTGATTTCTTAAAAATTATGTCCATGCATGATCTGTGCCCTTTTGATAGCTTGCACATCATTGTTGATAAAAGAGTCTGCTGCTGCAGATGAGCTGGGTATTCACGGTTACCAGTCGGTAGTAGGAGTTACTAGTACTGGAAATGATCCTGTATGTTTTTTTGCATATAACTTACATAACTATAGAATTACAGGATTGTTCTTTTGCAGTAATAGAAGGTCAAAATGCAATATTTATCTCAATTTTGAGAGATCAAATTATTATTGTCACCACTCACAGATTTATTCTAGTCCTGGCTAACAGGTACTATATTGAGTACTAATAATTTGAGTAGCATTTATAGGCATTGCTGATAGAAAAGATGATCTGTTTCAAGGAAAATAATTCTGTCTTGATATCAAGTTGGCTAGTCTTTAATTTTCTATCTGTCAGGGAATACTAGTAAATACATTCTAAATATAAATTCCACCTAAACTATTAACATGAAAATGTTAATGCTCATTATGTATTTCTCTTCATAATCCATCTATCAGTTTGTGCATTTGGGTTCTGGTGTCTTTTGTGGTAAAAAAAATTGCAGTTCTCTGGGTACCTTAAGGCAATGAAGCAGACTGTGAGGGAGATCTGAGGGCAGTGTTAACTACAGCTGTTTACATGTGTAGTAAGTGTAGTTATCTTGCTTTGCTACAGTTTGGTGAAACATGTCTTAATTGGCTTGAACTCATCAGAGGATGTGGAAATTTAGATGCAGAACTGGTGATACTGGGTGAAGAAATTAAATGAACAAAATTGTTCTAGTATATTACCAGAAAACTGAAAATACTGTAGGTATCTGAGGTGTTTTTTCAGTGCAGTCAAGGGAGAGCTGTACTGTCCTTTTTCCCAATATAATACATCAAATTGTATAATAGTTTTTCTTTTGTAAATATGATACTTGGCTACTCTGGAGGGTACTCTGCTTGGCAATGCCTGTGAGATGCTAGCAGCTTTCTATTAGCTAAGAATCATTTGAACTGACAATAAAACAAGTGGGGACACTTAACAGCAGCACACTTGTAATAAAACCTATATGATAGTTGTTACTCAAATCTCAAGTTACAGTTAAATATATTATGCAGTAAATTAAATATAAAAAAAGAAATTGTGTTAACATCAGATTGTATTGTAACTGAACTTTGTTGTGGTCAGACAGTGTTATGGTTCTAAATGTTTTTGCCCTTTCATGAAGGCTGCACTTTAAAAGGACTCCGATTCGGGATGTAAGGTGTGTGCCTTGGTGGAGCAGAGTTTCCCCGGCACACCCAGCGCTGTTTTCCTCACTTTCGCTTGCTAAAACATTTTATTGACCACTGAAACAAATTTGAAGGTGGTGATTTAATTTTAAATTATGATTAATCCATAACACACTGGTTTGGTTTTTGTTTGTTTGGTTTGGTTTGTTTTTGATTGATAGATAGATAGATAGATAGATAGATAGATAGATAGATAGATAGATAGATAGATAGAATGATAGATAGAATGATTGAAAATGTAAAAGGAAGGAAAAGATCCTAATTTTCACTTTACAAAATTTATCATCCTGTTAGTTGTTGGGGGTGGGGGTGTGGGGGGGATGGGGGACAGGGACTGCCCTAATGGGATCAGATAGCATAGTGGTTGCTGTCATGGATGGGGCTGAGGTGAGGTGCTGACACCACCACCTCTGCGATTCCAGTTGATATGAACTTTCTGGCCATAATCCTTTTGGTTGTTAGCAAGAACTGACAGCTTGACTCAACAGAAAATGCGACTTAGACCACCAGTTTGTTTTGCGTAGGAACTGGTCTGAGTATTAAAAGGATCATCATGCTTACTGTGCACATACTGTTAAACAGTAAAGCATTTCCATCCCTAGTTATCTGGTGGATATAGCCAGACTATTTCTGTTAGAAAGGGACCATGACTCCCCAGAAACAGTTGCTAAATTTTTTTATTGGACTATAAAGTAATACAATTATCAAAGTCACTCAACAATTGGGACATGGCTGAGTCCACATGAACTATATTCACATCAGGTAGCTGCTTCTTCAGAGTGAGCTTGCTTGCTTTCAGAATGGGTGCCTGCCTCCAGGGCTGCTGGCCCTGGGGATGCTGTATGCAACTCAGCTGGAGAACATGCATTACGCTTGGCTACTTTTATACGCAAATTTGTAGTAAACATGTACAAACAGCTTTTTTCCAAAGACTTGTAATTTTGTATGAGGAAAGACATGTCAGCATGGATGTGCACAATGGATGTGTCTGTAGGGGGACTGATTTGAAGGAGCATCTTCTGATCATTCCTGTGAACTGTGCTTTGTTTCCCATGGGGCTAAGTGGACAAACTGGATTTCTTTCAAATTAAATTAGATGGGAAAAATGTCTGCTAGGAGCATGTTTATTACTCTCCAACTGCTAATGTGTATTCAATCCATGGGACCAGACTAGAGCTAGTCCAAATTACTGAGTTTTTATGCGTCCCTAATAATCACAAATGATGTCAGAAAATCCTGTAATTGAAGCTAAATAATTTAATGGAGAAATAACTGTCCATAATAGAGTGTTCTAAAATGATAATAAATTTTGTCTTTGGCTGGTAGATAAAATTAATACATATAAGGCAAGATGGTGCGTGTAAGGAGAAAGTTTTTTCAGAAGGATAGTGATGGATTTAAAATTTAACTAGAACTTCTTAAATGACCTTGGAATGAGGGTTAAGTTTTCTAATGCAACATTACAGTACTTAATAATCAAATAATACAGCAAATCACATTTTTTAAATGAGATGATCCGTCTTTACTCAAATATACTTAATTTTCAAGTAAGTGCAAAAAAGCATAGGTATATATAAAATTATATAGAGAAGACCTGTATATGAGGAAATTAAAAAAGAAAGACTTTGCTGTGAGAAGAATCAGTAAAGACTAAAATGTATGTCCTCTCTCTCTTTGGTCTTCAGCGCCTCGCTAAAGAAGCAGAGAAGAACCAAGCATCACATCAGTGGAGGGATGAGTTTGGGGTAAGTTTCATTTTTTGTCCTTTTAATCTTCTTGGATTTTTTCTCTTTGAAACTTTAACTGTAGTCTTACAAACATGTTGTTTATGTATCCACCACAGAAGGAGTCATTAACTATGAATGGGCATTTTATTTTATTCAGTAAACAGAGTGCTGGTCTGGTTGTCTAGAGAATAAAATGGACTTTTCACTTCAGAAGCTTATAGGGAGCTTTGCAGACCCAGGGATGTATCTCTGAGGTGTACGCAAGAGATCTGATTTGACATACAAGGAATGATTGCAGAGAAGACATCTGAGTGATGGTTACTGGCAGTTAAAAGTGTGCTACTCCAAGCACTGAAACACAGAATCATAGAAAATATATTTTTCAAGTTGTTTTTTGCTTATGTGGTGGAGAAAAAAAAAAAAGAAAAATAAGAAAACAAACAGAAAAAAGTTTAATACAGAAGGATTTGGTTATCTACATGACTGTTTGTATTGGGAGTCATAGAGTGGTTTTTTCAGAATCCCTTTCCCTAGTTTAATAACCGCATCTCTGCTCTTCAGTATTTTAGTACTACTGAAAGAGGCCCTGGACAAACACTAAACTATCTTCTTCAATCATTTCTGACTTTACTGAAAAACAAGTGAGATGATTGTAAAATATACATTCATTCTTGATTACTGATCAAGTCAAATTAGTATTGTACTGCATGGTTATAAGCCTGTTAATTTTAGGCTACAGCTCTTACCAAGTGTCTAAGTCATTTATTATGCCTTCATTGCCTGTTCCTTCAGAAATAAAAGCAAATGGTGCTTTTATGTGATGCTGCTACAAACCTAGACTGTGTTTGCACATCCACTAGAATCATAGTGGCACAGAGTTGAGTGCGCGATGATTTTCTATAATATCCTTTCTGATCCAGTGCTCCTCAGACACTTGGAGATCTGCAAACAAACGGGAAAAAAATACCCCTAAGGTCAGGCCAAACAATTCCGATTAGTGTGACTGGCTTTTAGGAGTGCAAAGACGGTCTGGACACAGTCTGAATGCTTTTAAGTGTGCTCTCTGCACAGGCATAGCTTCTAATATATGGTAACACACAGAATGCATATTCCATAGGGATGCAATAATGAGTATGCTACAACGACCTTTTCTGATATTCTGTCTCTGCTTTGAATAGAAAACAAAACCTGCAGGTTTGATGGACTCAGTGCAGAACAGTCTGAATACGGTCAGATGCTCTTTCTAATAATTTTGCTTTTTACTGTACACACTGGCATCACATCAACAATACCATCTCAGCTTTTGGTTTTCTTTTTGCCCTTTACTTGCAGTAGAAGTCAGTCACACCAAAGAGGCTTCTGGTCTTATCAGAATTCATTGCCAAGGAGACATCTCAAAGCAATTTTGAAATGTGATCTTATACTAATGTTGTGGCTTAGACAAAGACTATCGTCAGAGTAAAATTTTAAAAATGCAGTTGGATTTATAATAAAGTAACTGCAAACCAAGCTTGTGCTTTACTGTTTTGAATTTGGATGAGAACAGCGTGCACCATATAATAACCTTGACATTAGGTTATGCAATTAAATTTCAAATAAATGTATTAAGCCTCTTATAATTTAATTTGTTCCATTTTTGCCAGAAGTAATCTCTCCTCTCTTCTGGCCTACTTTTTAGCAAATGCCTGCTCAAATTAGTTTGCCCACAGATCTTTCTGATAAACTTAATTTTCATTGGAAGATTCATTCTCCTAATGGCTGTGATTGAAAATAGAAGATATACCATAAAACTTTCTGTGGATATGGTTTCTTAAAGTACTTCTTATAGCATTATGAATGGTCTGCATCATGCTGTACATGGGCTATTTCTTGTCTGGGATTTGGTTTTGCGTGATGAAAGCCCTTTCAGTGGCATTGCACATGAGTCACTGTAGAAAGGAGCTCTTTGGGACTATCTATTTCTGCTTCTAATGAGCTCACAATCAGCAATGTCCATGACAGTCAGATTGCAGCTGAATAATAACCAATGGAGTTTTAAGGAGAAAATATCACAAACATTCCTTCTGGGGGAGTATGTATGGGCTGACCTCAGTGGAACAAATCCAAAACAGGAAGGGCAAAGAGGGCTGGCCATATTACCAAGCTCTATACGGAGCTACAAGGGATGTGTCAATCAAAAGTACAGGGTGCCCGTTCTAATACTTTATTCAAACTATGAATATTGCAGAGTTTGCAGCAAAAGAAGCATGTAAGCGTTAAAGATTTTTAAAGATTGTATTTGTAGATTAATGTCGCAGTATAGTAAAAATTCAGCATCCTCAGATACGTTCTTTTGAAATTAGCTAGTACAGGGAAAAATATTTCAAGACCCAGATTTGGTCCCAGAGCCTCATTTTTGTTATTTCAGCTAAAAATTGAATGTAAAGACTCTCAGAATTGTCTAAATGAGAGAATTTGCTTGCCTTTTAGAAAGGAAGTTGGGACTAAACCATTGATAAAAGCACAAATGCACAACTACTGAAATCCCTTTTCCCTACTATTTGTAATTGAATGAGAATAGAATTTGTTCCAGTATTTCCAGTACTATGTTATATTATATTCCAGCTACTTCAAGAAGACCAAGCAAAGAGAAACAAGTAAAAATTTAAGTTTTGACTTTTTGATAAATCATAGAATCATAGAGTGGTTTGGGCTGGAAGGGACGTTAAAGATTATTTAGTTCCAACCCCCCTGCCGTGGGCAGGGACACCTTCCACTAGCCCAGGTTGCTCAAAGCCCCGTCCAACCTGGCCTTGAACACTGCCACAGCCACAGCTTCTCTGGGCAACCTGTGACAGTGCCTCAGCACCCTCACAGGAAAGAATCTTTTCTTTATATCTAATCTAAATCTACCCTCTGTTAGATTAAAACTGTTACCACTCATCCTATCACTATGCTCTTTGACACAGGGTCCCTCCCCACCTTTCCTGTAGCCCTTTTTAAGTACTGGAAGGCCTCTATAGGACCCTTCTCTTCCTCAGGCTGAACAACCCCAACTCTCTCATCCTGTCCTCGTAGGGGAGGTGCTCCATCCCCTGAGCATCTTTGTGGCCTCCTCTGGACCTGCTCAAGCAGTCCTGCTCAAGAGTGGAGGGGCAGAATCACCTCCCTTGACCTGCTGGCCACACTTCTCTTGATGCAGCCCAGGATACAGTTGGCTTTCTGGGCTGCAAAATGTGTATTGCTGTCTCATATTCAGTTTTCCATCCTTCAGTACCCCAAGTACTTCTCCACAGGGCTGCTCTCAGTGCACTCATTGCCCAGTGTGTATCCATTTTTGAGATTGCCCTACCCAGGTACCTTGGTGAACTTCATGAAGTTTGCATGGACCCACCTCTCAAACCTGTCACGGTCCCTCTGGATGGCATCCCTTACCTCTAGATATCAACCACCACTCAGCCTGGTGTCATCCAGAAACTTGCTGAGGGTGCACTCGTTCCCACTGTCCCATGTCCCCAGCAAAGATGCTGAATAATTCTGGTCCCAATACGCACCCCTGAGGGACACTTCTCATCACTGGTCTTTACCTAGACATCAAGCCATTGACCACAACTTTGTGCAACCATCCAGCCAAATCCTTTTCCACTGAGTGGTCCACTCGTCAAATCCACATGTCTCCATTTTGGAGACATTTTGGAGACATTGTGTGGGACAGTATCAAATACAAGTCTGGGTAGATGACATTAGTTGCTCTTCCCTTCTCCACAGATGCCATAACCCCATCATAGAAGGCTACCAAATTTGCCAGGCGCTATTTGCCATTTGTAAAGCCATGCTGGCTGTGTCAGATCACATCCCTGTCCTCGATGTGCCTTAGCATAGTTTCCAGGAAGATCTGCTCCAGGATCTTGCCAGGATCAATAGTTAAAGGAATCTTTACCAAAGCTGAAGAATTTTAAAATTTTTAGTTTTATTTGCAATAGCATGTTGATGTTTGCCAAAACCAAAAATAGCCATGAACACAGAAATCTCAGATCAGTATTAATTTGAACCTGGGAAGCTGTGACCCAGCAACTTACTGAACATCAAGCATCTGGTGTTAGAGAAAGTATTTTCATATTCCTATCCTTCTGTCATAGCTTGTTAAATACATAGATTGACACTGGGGGCTATATCTTTTCTTTTTATTAATAAATGAATGCCTGTTAGGCGTATACTCAATGTGTGAGAGCAAAAATAGAAATCTAAAACAAGAGCACGTATCTTACCTATTTTCCAGTATTTTTTAGCCAAGAGAAATAAAGATCATAAAGGATTTCGGTATTTTGCACTGATAATTAAATATCAAAATAATTTTGGCAGTTACTAATTAATTTACTAAAAAGTATAAAATTATTCAGAAGAATAATGATTAAGAATACTGAATGTCTTCTGAGTAAAAACAAAAAAAAACCACATTAATATTGGATTATAAAACATATTGTTTCCCAATTAAGGACAAAGTCAATTAAAATATCTGGACTACATTTTACATCTATATGTAATAATAGTTACCTGTTAAAAAACCTATTAAGTCTGAAGAGGGTGTTTGTGAAGTTTATGAAAGCAAATCCAAAGCGCTTAGCTTCAGGCAAATAAAGAAATGGTGTTCTCTGCTTCCTACTCGATCAATAGTGCCCAATTCCCTAGCTGCAGGTACAGCTGGAGAAATAAAGCCTACTTAAATGTTTTTAGATTTATGCAGTTACAAATTAGAGACACAAACCAATATTTCTAAATGAAACAGCCTTGTCAGTTTGAATTATCTTGTATGATGCGGAGTGAAAGGGAGGTGGGTTTGACACTCATGATTTTTTTTTTATTTTTCTGGCATAGAGATGCATGAAAAAAGTTGTTTGTGAATTGGAAGAAGGAGGGAAGTAGTCTGTATGAAATTTTTGCTGTTATTCCCCAAATGGATCTTCTACAATTATGTTTGATACCACATTTGATTGCCTTGCAATGGTTGGTTAACTAAAGCAATTTTGTTTCCAGTTGGG